TGTACTCCCAGTATAAAGCAGTAGCTGAGTAATCCCACAAGCATCATAATGCCATGAGTCGGTGGGTTTCAGCTATTCTGAGGGATCTGCTTCTGTGCATGCTTACCTTCTGATGGGTGCAAGCTCACCTGCCACTTAACAAGAGCACACTTGCCACTTAGCAAGTGATCTGATTTCAGCATAGGAGGGACAAGGAGCTACAAGAGAGCAATTACGGAGCAGAGATTGTAATCTGCTCTACAGTCCATTTTACCTTGTAGCAACCTATTTACATGGATTATATTCAAAGGTGGTCTCTGTATGTATTGCAGAGGAATAACAGATTAAGAAAACATGTATCAACATCTGTAGTTGCTTTGAAGACCACTCTTAAAAGCTTTCCGATTTGCCAACATTAACTTTCAGAATGAAAATCTGTGAAGTACTCATGAATTTGAAGTTTTAGGGTTTATTATTGTCAAAATCTCAGGGAATTCAAATATATCCTTTATAATCTATCAAAAGAAAAAAAAACCCAAACTAACCTCCCGCTCCCCACAAAATCAACCAAAAAAAAGCCCACAAAACCCAACCAAACAAAACGAAAACCTTTTGCAGAGAGGCAGAAATAAAATCTATGAGAATGAAAAGCTTATTTACAGCAGGCAAAGGCAAAACTAAAGCCAGTGTCAGAACTTTGAAACTCCTAGTAGCTGGAGGAGAAGGTGGACCAAGCATATATAATTTAACAGTGAAGCTAATTATCTGCTACAGCAATGTTGTTAGGAGTGTAGTGATCAGGATTAGATGACTTTCTGAAAAACATTCCCTAGTTCAAACAGGAATTATGGGTCTTTATGCAGGAAGCTAGGGTGGCTGATTATGGTAATAGTCCCTGCTATGTACTAGCTTTCCAACCATACATATTTATTCTGCTCTTCTGCACAGTTATGCTGAATGTGTAAGCAGGACATTGGATGCCACACTGTGAAATTCACTATGTGCTCCACCGAACAAAACAGATCAAATCAATAAGCATTTAATAAGGCCCAAGTTTGAGACTCCTCTTTGCTCATGCTTTTTGTCAAGTAAATGGTTTCTTACAGCTGTAGAAAATACCTTCCTGCACATTCCCCAAAACAAAGCTGTATGCATTGAAAGATATTTTTGAACTAATTATTCAAGTAATGCTGTCTCTTCTTCTGAATGAGGATCCAATCTACATTCTTTGCAAGGCAATCTCTTGCTTTCTGAAATTCATTGAGAGCAGAGTGGCCCATTGACATCAGGTTTAGATATTATGAACACTGAAAACAGTACAAATACAGAGCAGAACCCCAATTCTATTTTATCGCAGTCCCAGGTAGGCAGTCTCACGGTTCATTCAGATGCAACAATTTCATGAATCTAAGATGGCAGACTTACTCATCAGCAAGTGAGTGGTATTGTTTCTTGTAATCAAGCAGTGAGTCAGTATACTTCCAACAGACTACACAATCTTGTTTTTATTTTCTAACAGAATTATCCCTAAAACTCTATTTGCTCTATTCTTACATGGTTTTCAGAATGAAAGTGTTTTTCCCAATTCTGTGTAGTATTTTGTATATTCTAGGGCAAACTGAAGATAGGGAAAACTAAAACCTATGTCTTTTGAAAGTTAGGTACAAGGTTAACTTGATCTGTGTCCCATTTAACTCAATTCAGAACCTGAAGGTAAATATAGGAACAATGCATTTAATTTGGGCTCACTCTTTCAAAATGAGTACATGAATTTTGTTGTGCTCTAAAATTAGTAGTTGTTCTTGCTGGTTCTCAACATTGAATGGGATTATATTTTTCTAAAAGAGAATATCTAAGTGTCCTGATGACCGCTTTGAATGACTGTGGACCAGTCATGATCATGGACCATCGTGTGACTGAGTTAAAGCTTATTCTTTGTTATTTCAAGAGATGCACTTACTCTGTAATTATTGGGTTTTGCTTAATATGATACTACTGGTGATGTTCCTTGGTGGAGAAATCACACATCAGCAGTCCTAGTCACCATCTGGAAGTCCACACACTGCCTTTATATATAAAGTACTTTAAAACCTCTACAGTGTTACCTTTCAGAGCAAGGCTGGCCTGAAAAAAGAATGACAACATAATGTATCTTACTGAACTCATCTCTTCCAGGCTCCTCTTACCTTCTTTCTGTTCCTGCCAACCTTTCCCATTGCAGGACTGCTGCACACTTCCAGGAACCACCATAAAGGCACCCAAGTTGGTCCTGCACAGAAACAGAAAAGCTCCTGCAGGATGTGTCTGAATGGGCTTCATGCCTTAACTGAAATCTGTTCACGTCTTTGTGAGCAGCGTAATTTTCTCTGTGGTGAAAAAGCACCACACTTAAATCACCTCAATGTCATCTCTTGAAGGAATTTCAAAAGTAGTGGAGAGTTTTCTCTCATATTCATTAACATCGATGGATGTGATCACTGACAGATACTGCTGGATCACTCACGGGCGCTGATGGATTGTTGCTGACTGCCATGAGCCCTTGATGGGGGCCACAGAATTCATTTTTGTGGGTGTTGCTAGCCCACAGAAGGCCTGTCTTTTCCCATCTGTATCCAACCATATGCTGTGCAATTCTGACACAAATATCAGCCCTAGCTTCATCAAGTAGAGACATTGAGGTTCAACAGACCATTAAAGGAGCACGGAGAGATGTATGAGAAAAGCAATGTACAACACATTTTTGAGCCACTTACTCCACTGTGAATAAGATTATCAACAAGAAGTTGCTTCTATTTCTGTAAAATTGTGTACTTGCACACACAGTAAGAAGAGTGCTAGGGTTCTGTGATTTTATGTTAGATAAAAAGTAATGATGGTGCCATGTAACTGGAAGTAAAAATTAATCCTGAAATTTTTCAAGAACTGAAGTTGTATATCATCATATAGTTTTTGTGCAGCCCTATAGACTAATCAGCACTTCATATTCAAACTATATTTCCAGAAATAAGTTCAGAAGTAGTTATATAAACAGGGCTATAAGCAGTAATTGAGATACTATGACATGTAACATGTACAAAGACATTTGGCAAGCTTTTATCTTAAAAGTGGTATTTGCATATGGATGGTGGGGTTTTTTTTCAGTTTTCGTTTTTCATCAGTATTGTTCATCAAGCAGGCCATAGTACTATCTAACATAGTGTTCTGGAGCTGACCTGCATTCCTTTCAAACCATTTAATCACACACAGCTGACCAGCATTCCTGTATAAAACCACCTAATCAAACACAATACAAACACCCCAAATGGGTACTTAATCTTCATATATGTACAAGTGTGAAACGTGCAGTGTCCAAATGCATCCCTTCATAAAAGCAAGTGACATAAAAGACTTTTTCTAAGTATACCTCTCCCCCACCACAATCAGTACAGACATTCTTAAAGCGGTTAAGGCAGTTAGCCTTGCACGTGAAGATTAGGATTCACTGTGATTAATATTCAAGATTGATTTCTACTCATCTAAAACATGCAGTTTAAGAGGAAAGAAATATATCAGCTTTCCACTTCTGGGCAAGTATGTCAAGTGAGCTGAAAAATACTTGAAAATGCATGACGCTGGGCCGCTAGATAGCTCAAGGAACATATCACAGAGGACTATACTTCCTTTCATCTCCAAGTTGCTCGGTTTGGATGAAAAGCTTCTCGAGTTTGTTACTGTCTGATGACTGTGTCTCTGGATCAAGTGGAATAAGTTATTTTTCTGTGTTCAGTAGCCATACTTTGATTAGCACTTTCACTAGAAATCCCTATAGGAAGCACACAGAGCCGCTGAGCTGGAGACTGAGATGTTTCTGCAGTTTCCAGAAGCACTCGTCCAGAGCAGAGTTAACATGCTGACTGATGTGGGCACACCTGTGGTGCTGCTGAGTGTGTCCTGCCTCAACACTCTTCCAAAATGCCAAACTAGCGTAAATTCACTTAAATTTCCTACACGCATCTTTTGGTCTTTTGCAGCAGTTTGCTTGTCAGAGAAAATTACATCTGAGGTGGTTTGTGTTTGAAATGTAAAAGCACACAAAAGCAGGAGGAGAGGGAAAGGTATATGAAGGGATACATTTAAGTGACAGGATGGAAGAAAATGGGCCTCTGAAAAGTAAAGAGGAGAGGGGGAATAAATGCCTGTTAATGACGTGAAAGTAGGGCTCAAGACAGGCTAAATGACAGGAAAAGAAAACCGGCCAGAGAACGTTCACTTTTCTGCTTTTCTCGTGCCACCAGATGCGACGGTGGCAAACTGTTACCCGGGACGACCCACCCGCAGGCCCGGCGAGTCGCCGTCTGTCGGGCCTACGGGGCGGTCAGGGCGGCAGGGCCAGCCCACCCATCGCAGTCCTGCTGACCCCAGCGCTGTAACCGAAGGCACTGCTTAACCACCGGGGCAGGTGAGACCTGCTCAGCGGGAAGGCGATCGAGGGTGTCACCAGCCCCATCCGCGTCAAACAGAGGGAAGGCAGGCAAGGCAACAGCGATACACTCCCAACTTCTGTAGCAGAACAAACCCCCTCCCCACCCGCCCCAAACCACCCCAAATCCACCAAGTTTTTATTTTAAACAGATGTGCGCGGACTAAAATCGGTATTTCCAGGTATTTTTACCGCAGCACTCGACATGACAGCTTCGGTGCCGCGGCCACGGCTCCGTACAGCCGCAGCGGGGGGCATGGCCAACACCTCCGCCGCGGGCGCACCGCGGGGCTCGCCGGCAATGGGGTGATGTTGGACGGGGAGTGCCGCCGCCGAGACATGCCCCGCAGCCGGTCACGTGGCAGCGCCCCCCGCGCACCTCACCCGCGGAGTGCGGCGACATCGTGACGCAGCAGGCCCCCGCCGTGGTGGGAGGAGGCGGGGGCGCGGCGGGTGACTGGTCGTGTGTGGATGCGGGTTCCGGCCCGGCAACCCAGCAAGCTGAGAGACCGCCTACCGGTCTGCTGCCGTCCGCTGGCCGGTGGAAGGGCAGGGGCGGGAGGCGGGACAGGGGGAACGGGAGCCCTCCCTGCACCGGCGGGGAGTGGCGGGGGGCGGCAGCCGAGAGGCGGCACCTGGATCCTTCCTCCGTCTCCATCACTCCGCGGCTGCCGAGGAACGGTCGAGCGGAACGGAGAGGGGTGAGATGAGGCGAGTGGAGCGGGCGGGGGGCTTTGTTGCCGCCACTGTCCTCCGGCGCGACGGCAAGGGGGGCTCAGGCACAGGCCCGGGGTCCCCTGCGGCGGGTGCGGGTAGCGCTGGAGGCGCCCGGCGCGTCTGCGGGTTCTCCCCCCTGCCTGTCAGCGGGCGGCGGGAGCGGCGGCCGGGGGGCGGGAGCGGGAGGAAGGGGGCTCTGTGTTTGCAAACCCCGGCCCCCGGCAGCCCGCTCCGGGGAAGTGCTTTGCGCATGAAATCAGGGCTGAACGCGGGGGTTTTGTTGAGACAGCACATACGTGATGTCAGCTCTGCGAGTGCCGCTGCAGAGCCCCTCGCAGCACGGCGAAACCGGCGGACACTCGAAGCCGGCTGACACTCGAAGCCGGCGCAGGTATGCTCCCCCTCCGCTCGGAGCCGGCGTGCCTGGCGGGCACAGCCCTCCACACTCTCCGTCCCACCGGGGCTCGCCGAAGCCTGGAGCAGAGTAACGTATGAGTTGCATGTGTGTAACTGTGGGAAGCAAATGCAAAGTTGTCTGGTAGAAAAACTGCGCCTTGGGTCAGTCCAAGACTGTGTTTTTTTGCACCGTGGGTCAGACGAGCGTTCTGATGTGAGCAAAGACAGTTTATGTGAAGGGGAGCTCGAGGATTATGTCCTAATGGTACTGGATGCAAACCAGCTCCTAAATAGTCTCATTGTCAATGTTATCACCTCATGGCACGTTCAATGGTTGGCTTAAAGCCACAGCTCTTAAAGAGAGATTAATCAGTCACAACTGCTTCTCAGAAAGCCTCCCCCCACCAAAAACCTGCCAGTGCCTATGTTTCTATAGAAAATCTTGGAAGCATGGCCTTGTACACTGCGGTGATCCAGCCACAAAAGATAACTAAAAAAGTTTTTAAAAAAATGCCTTCTGAAGCAAATGACTTGATAGTTGGACCCTTTTTTTTGGATATTTAAATGGCTGAAGAGATACAATCTTAGCACAGGAAAACCAAAATTGCCTTGCGTCTTGTGCAAAGACCTCCAATCCTGCAGCCAGGAATTACAGTGCGGTGCACATATTTAAGCCTTGCACAGCATGCTGTAGCAGACTTTCAAAGTGCCCTGCCCCTGTATTTGGTAGGTGTATGTACTATCAGCACTCCCAAAGAGCCGTAAGTGGTATGACCCATTGGCTTACTACTATCCATAAACATGAGCTTTTTCACCCTAAAATCCTCTCCACCTAGCTCATGGGCTGCCTGCTGAACATGGCTTCTTCATGTCTTCTACAAATACCACTTCTGTCTTTGTACTGCAAGTATATCTGGTGCCATACTGGAGCCATAGTTTGAAGATTTTGTGCCTTAAGCTGGAAACCTCATCTTGAGAAGAGGCTTGAGGCATTGCTCAGGAAGGAATTTAAACAGTGAGAAAGGATTTTCATATGACTAAACAATTTCACTTGTCCATCTGTCAAGAAGAAACTTGTCTCACTACTATAGTTACAGTTCCAAAACTGTATAGTAACTTTTCCTTTAGGTGTTTCTTCAGGTACATAGAGGCATATTGCCCATGCCTGGTGTGAAAAGCCTCCCTTTGTAAGATGGGATATGTTTATTTCCTGTGTGGTTTTGTGTGTCAAAGACTGACTGTTCCACATTACCCAGTTACTTAACGGCATCTTAAACCAGTTCAGTCATTTTTCAGGTCTTTTTGTTTTCTGATATGTGTCATTGACTCAGTGTGCTGCAGGAAAGCAAATGTGACTTGTAACTTACTGGAAGAAGTGAGTAAAATAGGATCGTATCAGAAAACCAGTGGAGCGTTCTCTCCAAATCTGAGCAGCCTGTAAGGGAGCAGCATGTTTAAAAAAAAAACCAAAAAACAAAACAAACAAACAAAAAAACCCAAACAAAACCACCCCAAAAACAACCAAAAAACCCGGCAACCAACCTCTTTGTTTGAGCAAATAATCCAGTGTGGACTTCTCAAAATACTTTAGGTGACATTTTGGCATAAGGAGATGCGCAGTCTTTCAGATAAGGAAGTAACGTAGAAGATAGCAAGTTATATTAGATGGAAGTGGCTCGTTTTCGTACTGTTCTTTCTCCAATGACAGTGATGTGGTAACTATGACATGATTCTTTGGGGCCAGCTTCTGAGTTTATGGAAAGCTGCATGTAAAACAAAGAGACTAGTTGGACAAGGTGACTCAGATGCAGGCCCTCCCCTGAATACTGTGCATAAGCGATAGGTTACTTTGCATTTGTTTTTTTTTTTATGATCGGAAAACCATAATCCCAAAAATACAAATTTTTGTAACCATTTTTTGACAAGGCATCAGCAGAGCTTCAAGAAATTGGAAAGTGCTTCCCTGTTGTTCAGCCTTCTGGGTAATTAACTATCCCAATGCAACTCCATAGCTACAAGGAGTCTCCATCCCACAGGTACCTGAGGTGGGATACTGCCTGCACTGGTACAGCTCTCCGTCTCACACAATCCTCTTCCACGACATCCCAGCCCCTGATGTCTCTGTGCTCACAAGAGCTCTGTCCTGCTTGAACACTTGCCTGATTACAACCAGGAAGGGGAAAGCACCACAGCGTTGCTGCAGCTGCTCTAGTTTCTGGCCTTTGAAATGGAGACATGGGGGTAGATCTGCCTCCACACTGTGATGTGGTGCCAGCAAGAAAGGGGAGCACATCGCCAGAGGCAGCCTGGTGGGGTGACCCAACAATCATGGACAGCAGCACAAAACCCATGTTGGCAATAGTGCTGGGATGATGGCATTCATAGTTGTGGCATCATTTGGTGGTCATATATGCATAGAGTGGTGTTGCTGCAGCTCAGAAGCACACAGAACAGGGGTTCCAGCAATATCTGTGGGATGCAACAAGTTCCTTCCCCTCACCTGGTTTATAAACATTTCCACTGACTAGATGGACATGCAGTAGAGTTCTGTTTCCACCCTTGTCTGTTTCTGATTATGTGCATGAAGCTGCAGAAGCAATCCATGAATCACGAGCATGGTTACAGGAGCAAGGAGGGGAAGAGACCAATTACCATTTTAATTTTGATTTTGCTGGAATAAACCTACATATATTTCAGTTTAAAGTTGAAGGTAAAATGCCAGAATGAGATTGTGCTCCTCCTTCCTTATGCACCGATGTTAATTATTGCTAACCAAAACAAAGAAAATTTAATATTTTTCTGGTGAAAGTCTTTTTAAGGAACCCATTTGCCAATGCATTAATGTATATTAGTTAGAAAATAGAGTGATTGTGTTCATTGTCAAGATTAAAAGTATGTTAAAAGAAGCCGAGAAGCATTGGATTTTGGAAGGCCAAATAGTTGTTCTTTTCAAATTCTGTCAGCATAGGGCCATAACTAAGCTAAAGGAAATAAAGGTTATATAATTAGCAAGAGGACTTGGAGGAGCGTTGTGTCTGTGCTCTCTTTTTCTGGCAGACCTGCCTATTTCTCAAAGGAGGCAGAGAAGATAGGCTTACATGGAGCAGGTGCAGAGTAAACTCGAGGGAATTTGTCTTTAAATGCAAATGTGGTTGTATGGTAGATTTATATTCACAGTGGAACCATTGGAAATGAGAAAATAGAACATGCACATCAGATACCTTATTGATTTAAGGTCCCAAGAGAGTTTTTAACTGCAGGGAAAAAAGTAATTAATTAATTATTGTGGTAGAAATATCACCTGCTGTTTACCTGTCTAAGGTGGAACTGTAATTTCATCTTCTAAGATAAAATCTGAGTGATTCAGAGGTCTGAACATCTTAGGGTTATCAAAGGGAAGTGCAGTCCAGCTGCCATAGTTTGGCAGTTGGCACCACCCTTCATTAGCTGTGTTTACTAGTATGTTAAGGAGCATTTAGGAAAGCTTATTTTGAATGTGAATGTAGTTGATTTGCAATTTATAAAGAATTATTGAGTAATGATTGAAAATACATTTTTCAGATTAAAATGAAGCATTATGTTTCTAAGGTTTGCTGTAAACATTTCCTTTTCAGTTCCGTTTCCTCCCCAATTCTTGTTTGCAGTCAAACTGCTGGCATCGTTTTTCTTTGTTTATACTGGAGAAAAAGGCATTGTATCACTTATCTTTTAAACTCAATCTGGTGCACTGCATGACCTCTCCTTGTGTATAAATCCTCCCCCTTCTCTCCCCCATCTGTTTTATTGTTACTGTTTCAATCTGGAACTCACTAATTAAAATTAAATTCCAATTAGGAATTTAGCTGTTCCCTTCAGCCCCCGCCCCCGCCCCCCCCCGCCCCCCTTTTTTAGGAAACCTGCTTACATCTGTGAGTAAAAATCAGGCTGTACTTCACATGCACGTGACAGGGGTATGTACATGATTATGATTTGAAGCTGTACTGTCCTGCTGGTTATTCACCCATGTAGTAGCTCTGCAGGTCTGGCCATACTGACTGGCATTTTGTTAAGAAATAGGAAATATCTTTAACTGCCCAGACTAGTAACATATAACTGCTGTCATGTTTATACATGCATGTACATATCTTGTGTTCTCGTTTACTAAAGTACAACTGTAAATATTCAGCCTTTTATATGCAAAGTTGTCAGTTCCAGTTGAGTCACAGTAGTGAATTTATGAAGAGCCCAAGAATTGCTTTCGAACTGGCTTGAGGTTTTAAATATTGAAGGTGTCAGCAAGGTGAGAGATTTATTTCAGTATTTGTAAATACACCATCCAAGATGTTTTTAAAAACAGAAACCAAGCCAACAAAATAAAGCAAAATAAAACTGTGAAATTTAGTGAACACAGAAGCAGAAGAGTGCTAGCAAGGTAAATAAGCTTCATGTCGCATTCTCTGACCCACACTTCTGTCAGTCTAAGAATATTCATTTCTTGTACATTCAAAGAGTCTTAAGGCATGTGTCCTAATTACATTAAATACTGGGATATTATAATTTTGTAAATTCTTACATTGAGGACTGGATAAAGCACAATGGGCACATGGGC